TCCTGAAATGAATATTGCAATGTAATCTGTCAAGTAAAAGAAGGCATGCACATGCATGAATTCACTGTTTAGTGATGGACAATATTTAATTCTTTTGGAGCTCTGATTAATATAATGTAACATAATTTAACTCTTCTATGCAGCTGGTACGTGGCTCTCTGTACAATGCTCCAAAACCACTGGCGTTTCACTGCGGACTGCTGGACAATGACGGCAAAAAAATTAAAGTGTTCCTTGTCTCAGCCTGTTTACAGCACAGTGATCTTGTTTCACATACAGCAGATTCACATTAATGGCTTTTGTGTTAAGGCAACTTGTGTTTTTTAGGCTAATTGCCACTGTTAGCCATTTTGTGCATTTTTTCCTTTAACATTTTTTTTTCTAGAAACTCCCGAGCTATTTGGATAACCTCATAAAAAAGCTGCAAGCTTTCTTGCACTCAAAATTACATACAGATTCTACAGCCTGGAGACTGATTATTTTTACTACTGCCTACATAATCCCCCGAATGCTGATAGAGATTGATATGCACAAAATGGCTGAGCCTGGAATGTCTTTATCATTACCATCAATGAGGACAGAAAAAGCTTGGATACACTGCACTAAGTACATAACGATATATTTGTGTCCAATATATAATTATAACAATCAATAAAACAACACTTGAATATGAATCAATTTACAATTCATAAGTGGTCACATGTTTTGTTAATATTATTACATACTCTGAGCTCTACCATGTTAACCAATTCCTTGCAGGATCTGGAGACAAGGCAGTGTTAACAAGACCAACCCCACAAAGTGACTATGAAGCTGATTGGCTGCTGTCTGAAAAAGATGTCTTAAGATTTAAATATAAAAAGTGCCAAAACCATTATGCTCAAACCATTACGTTTCCATTGCTAATTAGCTAGCAATGGGCACATGAATGAAAAATGTAACAGTGACTTCTGCATTGTCTTGGCCTGCTCTACAACACTGTCTATTGCCTTACGCATGGTAGGTTTGCTCTGAGGTCTACATTTACATTGGTTATGGCATAAGTAAACACTTGCACACATATTTAACACTCCTGACGGATACATTTGATAAATACATTTTATAAAGTGATATTTTGTGTTCCAGTCAAGCTTAGTTTAAAACAGCTTTTCAAAGTAAAGGGACAGCTAAGAAAACATACTTAAACCTTTTTTTGGAAAGCAAAGCTGGCTCACTGAACCAGAATACATTTTCCTTATTTAATAAATTGTTTCTAAATGTAGGCACTATTTTACCCATATTTGCATTGTAATCCAAATACACTAATTGCTAGCATAACAGATTTGCATAGATGGTTGCATACAAGATGTGCAAATTTTTATGTGTATACAGTATATCTTTACACTCATATTGTGCAAAAGTATGACTGAAGAATAAATGTTGCAGTCACAATATTAACATTAGCAAATGGCCAAGTAGCTCCTGTTTAATCACTACTACCCTAGACTAGTACAATTACAATAAATAGAACCCTAAATACAGATAACTGATTGTTTTAGGAGGGGGTAGTATCCTGAGAAAAGATATGACTTATGAGATAACTACAAGGCAAGCAACATGTTTTCATATATGAGACCCAGAACCCATCTGCATCATTAAAACTTAAGAGAGGTACAGTTAAGATTTTCTCCCATATATCTTGCCATTAAAGCCCAGTAGCAACAGTTCATGGTGACAGCCCCACAGCAGGTCTGCATGTCCAGTCACACCAGGTGCTGTGACACAATAATACTTTACAAGGAGATATCTCTCTTAATTGCCAGTAAGCATGAATACCTCTACAGGGTCCCACTTGTCCTAAACGGGAGACAGTACTTAACCTACTCTCTGCCAGAGAGGGCTGCAATGCACGTCTGCTAGTTTCTGGTGTCTGGAAAACATTTGAGCATCCAAATACTAGATATAATAACAAATAGTCTAATTCTAATTTCATAATATTAAATAGCTGAACATTTAAAAAAATGTACAGCTTTCATAATTAATTGCTGTTTGTTGATCATTATTGATCCAAGCACAAATTAACTCACACAAATAGATTGGTCATCATATAGCAGAAGTTTCTGATTATATACAATTCAGTAGGTACTGTACATGTCATTTAAGTTTTACAGTTGCAAGTATGTTTCAGTCACCTAATTAGCATAAAGGAAATGGTTTCAAAGTTTTCTTGGACCTAACTGAACATTGGAAATATTCACAGGTTGACCAGACCAATTGTCCCCTGTATGTGAAGTAATAATATAAACCTTTACTTCTAAAGATGGCCTTAAACAATTACATAACTAAATGAACCTTATCATGCTAATTTGTCCCATTGTACAGATAATTAGACCCCCTCCCTTTCTCCCATAATATAAATATTTGTGGAAAGAATTATGGATGTCTAAGAAAATGAGATGGGAGAACCAGAGCAGTTATTAGCTTTAGAGTCTGTATATTATGCTAGCGTTTAGTGAAGGTTTCCAAGGAGATGGATTTTGATGCTGTAGGTACGATATAAATATGGTTGCTAGGAATTACTACAGGCCTGTTTGGGGACTTTCTGAAGGCCAGACAAAGACTGATGCAAAGCAATAGATGTTTCTCTTTGTGTCCTGCCAGACTTCTAGCAGAGTGGTATTATGTCTGAGTGATTGAAGTAGCTGTGCTCACCCTACTACACAAAAAGACTCTAAATTTTACTGACAAGCATGGAGAGGCCATTTAAGAGCCCCTCTCCCTCTCTCTCTCTCTTTATCTCTCTTTATGATGAGCAATGTTTGGGTTTCTGTATGACTCCGACACTTTTGGGAAACATGAGAGTGGCCAAAAAAGAAAAGTAAAAACAAAAAGTTGATTGGGACGAAGCCGAATGCTTTACATCCAAGAAGACTGCCACTTCTGTATCACTAATAAACACTGGAGTCGATTTACTAAAGGAATGTAGGCTGTTCATTTAGCAAAGGGAATGTTCAATGATAAGATGAAGCTGTGTTCACTTTAATAAGCCAATCACATGCTTTAAAAAAAATCCTGATTGTCCCTTTTACCTCCCTCACACATAATTGGGTATTTACTGTAAATTGATCACATGTTCACATTATTTACTATCATACACTTTGCCGAGTATAAAGAAAAAAAAATAAATGTTAGAGTATTGTAGGATAACTTATGAAGCGATGCATTTACAAATATACAGGATTGATTCATATAAGAGGTAAACAGGCGAAAGTCGCAATTATAGCGCTACAGTCGGCAGATACCTTGTTACTCCGTTCGGAACGTTAGATTGGAAAATATATTCGTTCTTTTGTACTATAGATACAATTAGGAGTTGACCTCATTAGCTGTGGTTATTTAAGAGAGAGAGAGAAAACAAGCATATTTTCTTTTCCAAACTGTAACACGGTGGGGGCTAATGTGTGTAAACACTGCGGGGGTGAAGAAGTCGGAGCTGCAGGGGGCTCGATAGAGTCGGAGAAAAAAAAAAGGGGGGGGGGGGGGTAAAGGAATGCTGAATAAAACTTTTCCATTTCACCTTTAGAATATCCTGGATAGTTAAAAACAATAAGCTCTCAAAAATGGAAAGGGAGATAAATTCTTATTTATGGCTACCAAACAGTAAAATCATTAGAAACATGCCCCGATGTATTCTGCAGTACTCGTCACTAGAAAGCTCAGCGCTAAACGTATTCAGAAAAAATGAGATGTAATAACGGGAACATAATTCCAGGATAAATGGGTCAGCCATATCTACTGTGGATCCATAAAGGAAAAAAAGGCTCACATGGAAAATCTGATTTCAATTCAACCAATTATGGGGGTAGATGTAGTAAATAATAAGCTTTGTACTGCTGTGATGCAAAGGTGGGGAGATTGGCATTCTGCACATTCACATATTCAAGAAGGAATGGAGAAAAACAGATGGAAAAATAAGAATAAGTAAACAGTGTGAATTGAAGTCGTGCAGGCGATATCCTGAGCTCGCATTGTGATCTGTGCCCCGCATTATATTCAGCATTTGTTCCTACTTGTATGACATAACTTGTTAATAATTGTTTTGTTTTTCTTTACAAGACAGCATTGTGCTTCAATGCTTCGTCCCCCTGCTGTTACATGCTTATTAATGGACAAACAATGGCAGAGCAGGTGTCATAAAATTCAAATCGGCCTCATAGCCGTTCACAGTAAACTTCTACGTGTGGAAAAGATAGCTTTGCTGTACATGTTCCATGGGAGGAAGTATGGGACACAGAAAAGTCAATGTTCTATTATCAGGAGCTGAGACTGTAAAGGGTTTATTTACATAGGTTTTCACCCAACTTTCACCTTAGATTCACATATTTGTTTTCAACTGAATTCGATTGGAAAAAAATCATGAAACTCGGGTGAATCTTGTATGAAAACATTTAGACATAGAGATGTATTTGAGGTTAGTGTGTATGTAAATACATTTTGTATACTATATGTATACCATAAAGCCTGCTGGTGAATGTGCACCGCTGAGGGATGCAGGTGAACAAATAGAGCTCTATAGCTGAATCAGTCTACAGAACAATCGCCTCTGTTTATCTGAAAGATCTACCTCCTTCTCTCTCATTATCGTGGGCTGAATTTCAATCATTCAGTCTGCTCATTAAAAGAAAGTGACGCTACGTTATATCAAGAAAAAGAATCACGCTGACATAGTTATTTTTAATACATATCCCAAAAGTTGGTCTTATGGTGGCATGTCACACAATTTATTATGTAGGATAGATCATAATACTGGCAATACATGTCTTGAAGATAGTATGTAAATAAGAGAGAAGTTGATTCACAGAGTGGAAATCCCCAGGTGCCATGAACCCCAGTGCCAGGTTGCTGCCCTGGTACTATGGTGGGCATGGTGACTGTGGAAGCGGTGACCGGGTTTGGAAGTCGTAAAACCTTTTACCATGTGGTTTATATATTAGATAATAGACATTGAAAGAGTTGCTTACTGTTGGTAGTCCTGCTTGCAGAAGAGCTTTCTGTCCCGGAAGTAGCAGCTGGTGGTGAGAGGTTGCTGACATACTGTACACTGCAAACATTCTTCATGCCAAGACGACTCATTCACCCTCATCAGAAAGCGGTCTGAGATGGGTCGCTGGCAGCCCTCACACACTGCCTGGTGCTGGCACTCTGAGCCTGGAGGGACACACATGATAATTGATGGTCACATCATTCTGTAATATTAGGTTTATCCCTTAGATGTTATCTATACCTACCAAATGTCTACACACAGCAGATCAAAGCCCTCCGTGTATACATTGGTGTCAATTTCATACTAAAACAAATATATATATATATATATATAAACTGTAGCATTTTTTTTTTTAATTCGGCTAATGCAAAGTGACGCGACCACTTTTTAGTAGTAAGGCACAGGCAGGTAAGTCTGTGTGGAACCTTAACGTAAAATATATTTTTAAGTAAACTATGTAATAGCAATTTTAAACAGGATACTGATGTGTTTTCTTTAACTGGCTGCCAAATAACAATACATTAATCATACACATCAGAGTGGCCTTATCTTTCTGAGCATTACATTTGCCTGCATTCATAAAATATAATAATACATTTACGTTCATATATGTATCTACCAAAAAAAAATGTTTTTTTGTTTATAATTGTTGTCTGTATGTATTCTAGACCATGTAGAAAAGTGTATCTTGTCCAAGCACTATAGTGTAAACTTACAGAGCAAATACAATGACTAATTCAAGTCAAATACTTATTATTATTATTATTATTATTAGCACCAGTGTAAAATAAATAATACAAATGTACTTAGCTAAATGTCCTAACTGTTGTTGTACCTATCATCTGGCTGTACGTGTATTCTTTTTATACCTGAGTACCTGACTTGTGGTATTGCATTTCTCTAAAAATTTACAGTGCGCATCTGACCTTCATGCTATATATATTATTATATTACATATGCTGAAATCTATTCACATAACCCCATAAAACCAAATTGTAATGTATCCATTACAGTGCAGAAATACTGTAGTAATGCACTATATATATATAAGGCTGATTTACTAAAAGATTTGAGAATCCTCACACAATACTGTATATTGTGTGAACGTTTCCTTCAAGTATACAATTATGTGGACAGCTAACTCATGTTTACTTATCTCATCTACACATGATTGGATAATTAAAAGTGAATATTCACGCCATATATTATGTAAAGTGTTTTAACTCTTTTAGTAAATCCGCCCAATTGAGTATACATATTGTGCTTTCTTTACCCTAATATACAGAGTATGTATTTCATTTAGAGTGCTTCAGTAACTGAATATGTATTTTATTTTGGGGTGTTACAGTCACTGCATTGTCTTTAGTTTGTATTGCATGTAGAATGTTTCAGTCACTGCATTGTTTTTAGTATGTATTTTATTTAGAATGTTTCAGTCACTGCATTGTTTTTAGTATGCAATTAATTTACAATGTTTCACTGCATTGTTTTAGTATGCATTTCAGTCACTGCAGTATATTACCTATGAACTGCATGGTGCTGAACAAACTTTAGATAAGTCAAGATACTTTTTATCTGTGCCCAGTGGCAATTGTATCCAGACAGAAGATAACAATGTTGCTTTCACTCGCTGCTGATAAAACTCTTCTTCCACAAACCATAGTTTAATGAGTCAAGTTTCTATTGCCATGCTAGGTTTAGTAAAAATTCAAGCTAATCTTTGACGTTTTTGCTGTCCTTCAAAGTGAGCCCTGTGCCTGCTTTTTAATAACATGGTTTTTGATGTCATAAGAAAGCGTTCTAGAAATATGTTTGAGTTTCCGAAGACCCTGTTACGGTGTACATGTCATAAGCATGAAACATACACTCATTACTTGCTTTCTGAGAAGACGGAAGAGCTGACACTTACCCAGAAGAACTCCTAATGTGGCCGTGGTAGCCCTGAGTGGGTGATCTTCCATTTTAATACTGTCCAGCATCTTGGCACAGTCACTCTGCCCCCTGTTATAGCACCTCTCCAAGGACTCAGGACCTGTTGCAATATCCATAGCACGCTCAGCCTAGAGTCCAGTCCCCGCAGAGCAGCAAAAGAATCTTAACAATAATAGGAATAGAGATAATTTAGGAAGAAGTTCTTAACTCCTGGCTGTTTGCAGTTGGAAGTTAGATCCTTAGCCCAAATCCTGCATGGGGATTCTATTTAGATGAGTCTGCTCATGATTGAAGACTGATCCGCAAAGACAACAAAATGAGAAAGAGGGGGGCTGCTAAGGATCACCTGCCTCTGAACTGGGGGAAAGGGTGGAGAAATCCGAGTGTGCAGGGGAGACCAAGAGGTGACAGGGTGAGCGGCACAAAATGTTCTCCAAAAGCCAGGTTGAAGGGGGAGGAGGTGATAAATCCCAGTGAAGGCTCTCTGTAGGATGTCCAGGGATAGAGAGAGAGCCTGACTCTGTGTGCCATGCACAGTCCTGAAGATCAGCATTCAGCAGGGTTTGCTAAAGCAGATGGATACTCCACCCAGTCACCTCCTCTCTCTCTCGCTCTCTCTCTCTCTCTACAAACTTGCTGACATTTGAACTCTATTGCTGCTGTGCTGCTTGTATCCCTCCGCGCCTGTGATGCGGTTGCACCGCACTTTTGCACAGTCAAATCCTGTTAAAGTTCTAATTCAAAATAAAGGGTTTTTAGTAAGCCTGACACCTGAGTCAATATACCATACGCTCCTAGTTTTTTTCTTTATTACCTTTAGGCTGAAATTAGATATTTTATGTAGCTGATAAATGTTCTTATGGACACCTGCGAATATGGGGTATGTAGAAATGCCTTTTTCCCTCTCTTATATTCTGTCTGCATCTTTTCCATGTAAAATATAGCACATTTTCAATAATTTCAGTGCATGGGGGAATTAATGCTCATTGCAGCTCTGGTTGGTGGCAGCAGGTTCATTGCAATTAACGTGCCAAAACCATGTAGCAAAAGTAGCTCTGTTGAATGCACAAGTTTAATGCCATTACCTAAAATATCTATTTAGGTGCATATAAAAGTAGAATCTGATCTCTGGTTGCATGTTATTAGATGTG